GGGGGAATAAATATTTTGTTAGAAAAGGTGTTTCTTTTTTGGGTGAATTTTTGTAGTGGAAGTTAAATATATATTCATTTAGTAATTTTTTAGTGGTTCTTCCACCCAATTATTTTAGTCGATTTTGGAATATGATTTTTTAACTTATTATTATTTATTTCAAGTTCAGTTATTATTTTGTGAGAGATTTGAACTACTGCTTAACAATTTATTAATTTCAAGGCCTTATAGTGAAAATTGTATATAACCGGCAAATTTGTTTTTGCTTAACAAATTTGATATATTATTGCTCTTTGTTTCTGATTAGTTTTTGCTTCTAGGAATGGTTGAGACACAAAAACTGTAGGTCACAATAAATTTTTAAATTTTTGTTGGGGTCAAATCTTTTGTTAGTATAGTTTTTTCGGGTGAATTTTTGGCTAGAGTGGCTTTATAGTATTGTTTTGCATTGGGAATAATAATCATTTAAGAGAGACTCTCTGCTTTCTCTCTAAAAACTTCATCACCAAACTACTAGCAATGACGAATCTACAGAACATAGCCACTCACTTCAAAATCCCTCTCAAACCACCAGATTTATCATCTAAAAACGTAGATGAAGTTGAGAAATCATCCTTCCTTGAAAAACTAGTATCAATGGTCCCATCACAACACACAACTACACTAATAGATGTCGATCAAGAGATGGACCAACACAATCCTAACGAAGACATCACATAAAAATGAAAACAGATCTAGATGTTATTCTGTTATCGCATGAGGAGAAAACCCGTATATACCAACCATGGAAATACTTAGTTATCATCAAACTGTTTGGTAAAAGGGTCCCCCATCAATATCTCAAAACAAGAATTTGAGATCTATGGAAACCCAGTGAGGATTTTTCTCTAATAGATCTAGGTGAAGACTTCTTCATTGTAAAGTTCCTAAAGGAAGAAATTATGAATCGTGTCCTGCACAATGGACCCTGATTCATTAATTCCTCACAAAATCAAGAAGGAAAGTCCACAGTAGCTATCAATCAAGGAAAATTTCAAAATATTAATTATAGTTTAGTAGCTAATAAGAAGACCCCTCAACAGAATACTGCCACGTCAAATAAAAATCAGTTGGTTAACCCATCGATAATTCCAAAGAGACAAGGAAACTTTGGCATGACACATAGCACACATGCGTCCATGCCTGCCAATATTAAGGAAGGACCATTTGACACATTAGACTATACCACAAATCCTAAAAATACCATGGTTAACCATCATCAACACCACTGCTTGCCCAACCTCCTCCTAAAACCAATCTGAACAAGAGTGATGGTAAACAAATTAAATATTAACCCCCAAAAGAAGATAGCTATAACACACTAAGCCATATATAATAATGGAATGCAGATAGATACTGAATCTACTGCATTGACATTACAATCTTCTTCCAATTTTAATATTAACCGTTCAAATTCTCAAAATACTAAGATTCACACTATTCTCTACTCAGAGAAGGCTCCTCCAACGAATACAAATCCAGATTCGAAGATTCTAAACTTTTCCTCAATCGGATCCTCCTCGAATAATAAATCTACTTGTCCACCAAATACTGCTCATATTTATTCTCAATACCACCACTCTCAGTCGACCACCTTCACCAAGAAATAATGTTGATCATTCACAATCCCTCATACTAAGTCCAAACGATGAGCGAGGAGATGAAGATGACTATGGACAACTACATCAGTCATCTAACTCTGTCCAACATTATCAACCTTTTGGCAGAATGTCGCAATGGATGTTCACTAAGTAAGTCCACTACAACCAATAGCAGC